TTGTGCTCACCGCGGATTTTCTCCCGGATTTTATGATCCCAATTTTGCCAGGAATGGGGTACCTCGTTCCACATTTTAGGACCTACTTCAGAGCAAGTTTCATCTCCTTTTTTCGTTTATTTGTATCTGGGAACTACTACCATCTTCTGGTTCTATGACCTTAAACATCTGCAAGATATTTTAACAGTAATAATATTAGAGAGATAAGTCTGAGCCTGGCCATTTAAAACCTTAAAAACATACATTAAAATCTTAAAACTCAATTCTAAAACATATCGCCAAACAATTTAAGTAGCACAGGATAGGGTAATGTGTTTAAACTCGGGCTGCATTTTAGACCACTTGAAGACATGATGTGTGATGATGTAAAGGCATGGATTAATCTCTCAAATTCTGCACGAGTTAAAAACTTTTTTTCACTTTGGCTAATAATCTCAGCAGAAAAAAAAACAAGATTTAACAACTGCATTTACCTGTTTGTCAAATAGAAGCTGCTCTTATATTCGACAAACAGTTAAATGCAGTAGTTAAATCCAGAATAAAACCTAGATTGTCCAACATTTGATTCAGCTACAGCATAGTACAATAAATAAATGCGGTATTTTAAGGTTCAAACTTAACGTAACGTGGCTTTTATTAACATTTTTAATAGTTTAAAGTGATATTTTATCTGGGTCAGTGTTGTATATTACGGTACAAAAACGTTGTGCTAAGCTGCCAGTGTATTTTCTGTTATTTTAAAGAGATATTTCTTTATATAATATTTCTTATACATTATATTATTTCAAACCACTAAAGAGTGAATAAAAGTCACTTTGTTAAACAGTAGAGTTGAATTTTCAACATCTGGTCTGAACAGTCTACAGAGCAGAGATCAATGTCAATGCCATAATGCAATTCACGACCATACATAAATGGATAACAAAAAATATGGAAACTGTGCCTTGTGGCTAAAAAGATCGTATAATATAATTTACATGTATTGTTTGGCATTATTTGTGATTTTAAAAGCACGCATAGACTCTAAACAGCTACCTTCTGCATTCTAGAAGAAAACACGGTGGAAAAACATAATGACCCACGAAAACTATTCCTTTCTACTGTGACAGACCCCGCCTCTCCTCATGATGTATTAGACACAGGAATGACAAAATAACATCTAAATGAGAGAGAAGAAAGCAGCGGTGACAGACGAAAGCAACCAAGAGACACCGAAAGATGAATTAAAGAAGATGCTTATAAATATAACGGTACACAAACTTCACAAAAGGTAGGTTTCCTTTCAGTCCATCGTGCTTGAGATAACTGTTAAAAGCTAAAATAGTCAACCTGACTAAACTTGTTCGAGAGTCTGTCAACTGTTTTGCCTTTTATGGTACAAGGAGTCTTGAAACTTAGAGACATTCTTGAGAACAGATTAAAAAGACAAGCACTCAATAAAGCTGAAAAATATTGTTTGAGGTTTGTAAAATAATGAAGATATAAGTAATATTCAAAAGGCAGTAAAGACCTAAATTATATAAATGCCATTTATTTAAATTTATTTCAATCAAAAAACAAAGTTAAAAAATTTCCAAACGGTAATAAAATACACTCAAGCATTCAATTATATTAAAATCATTTCAGAAAGAGAGAAGAAAGCAGAGGTGATAGAACAAAGCAACCAGGAGCACCTAAAGATGAACTAAAGAAGCTGCTTTGAGGTATAACAGTACACTAAAGCTATGTTTTGCTTTAATCCATCATGCTTGAGGTGATTGTTGCAGAATGAAGGCTAAAATAGTCAACCTGACTAAACTTGTTTGAGATACTGTCAACTGTTTTGCCTTTTATGGTACATGGAGTCTTGAAAATCTAGAGACATTTTTGAGAACAGAACGAAAACATAGTGTCAAATGTTTGGGGTTTGTATAAAGAAAAGAATTTATTGGCAGCTTTATTGGCAGGTATGTTTAAGCACTTTGTTTTGGACACAGAGCTTCTAGTGCAACAGAATGACAGAGACATACATAAAAATATTTTAAAAATAGAAGTAGTGAATGCAAATATATAAATTGGCAAGTGTAAAGGTATATTACTATATATAACGTGATATGAGCAGCTGTTGTGTGTAAACTGACATGTAAAGTATGTTGTTGAATAAGTGTATATGTGTATAAAGGGTATTGCAAGTAGTTATGTTTGTTTCACAATTACTATCATAAAGTGTTCATTAGATGGATTGCCTGAGGAAAGTTTGTTTTATATAAACTCTTCTTATATTATATTATATTATATTATATTATATTATATTATATTATATTATATTATATTATATTATATTATAT